TTAAATGTTGCAAGACTTTCTAGGTGTGGTGCTCCTTCAATGACTTCATATAGAATACTGTAAAAGTTTTTTATTTTTATATCTATATTTATTTTAGCTGAGAAAACATTTCTTCCATCATATCTTTTATTATTAGTTTCTCTTCAAATTATTCTAATCCTCCCCAAAAATAAGAGGAATATAAGTTAAATATTAATCATCTTCTCGTCATCACTTCATCTCTATCTTTTTCCTCCCTGAGTTTGTTCTACTTTATCTTACATATGACCTTTTCGTTTTCATCTATTGTTTTTTCTTGTTGTTTCAGTCAGTTCTTTTATGAAATTTTTGCACCCAACACAAAATTGTATATGGGAAGAAAAATAACTGAGCTTATTGGTGAAAAACATGACAGCTGTAACCTGCCCAGCAAGAATGAGACATTACTACGACCTTTAAAGGCTTGGAGCCAGCTAATGTTCAGCACATGGCAGAACAGCCAATAGACAAATGTTGAGCTGACTGAGCGGGGCTTATGTTCAACAGTAAAATGAGACAGCAGCCAAAATGTAATGAAGAACCAGAATAGCAGTTCCTGCTCACTCTCTCTCCTGTCCACTGATGCACCTAGGGTGCCTCTCAGGAAACATACACAGTCGAAGAGGGGAACAGGAGAGGATGCAAGAGGAAAATACAGGGCTTCTGCTAACTTAGACATGTGGAGACTCTATGACTATAATTATATTCCAAGCTGATATGTGGATAACATAATTTTGAAGTTTTAAGAAAGTTTTCCATAATATTTAGTCTAATTCCCTTCTGCTGCTAGATAAACATATTCGATGGCTAATTTATTTTTCTTTTATTTCATGAAGTGATCATAATACACACTTCTAAAAGTATGACCCTTACATCCCTGTATTAACATTTGAATTAGTGTCATGACCAGTGATACTCAGATGCTTTGTTTGGTCCATTTTACAAAATAAACAAGCACAAGTAAATGGCTTTTGTCAGGGACCACACTCTCTAGTCCAACCACACACCCCGCTGCCCTCGGTGTTACACTGAGCCTGATCCACACACTTTGTGCTGTCTGCTGGCCCCTGGAGTTTTGAGTTTGCTAACTCTGCTTAAGTTTTCAGTCATTTCACATGCATTGTCTCCTTTGTTCTTCACAACAATTCCATAGGAGGGTTATATCAGATACTATCATTCTTCTTTTTCAGACCAGGAAATATGGCTTGCTAAAAGTCACCACACAATTAGTAAATGGTAAACCTAGAGTCGAGTTTTTTGTTTGTTTGTTTGTTTGTTTTTTGTTTTGTTTTGTTTCGTTTTACCATAAAACACTGCTTTCCTAAACAGACGCAGAGTAAACGTTCTTGGTTGCTTCAAGTTTTCATACATAGTTGTTAGAATATTAAAAGGCATAATAAATGATTGAGCAATTGAGAGAGAAAAAGAGCATTATTATGATTTCTCACTTAATGTTTCCAAAGAAGAGAAATCACATGCTGTGAATAATTTGTGATGTCCTAGACAGTCACATCAAGAGAACTATAAAAATGATGTATTGATATCTTAATTACTCAGGCATGTGTTCTTTGTGGACAGATTCCCAGTTCTAGCCAGTTACCTTTGCTTATCTTTAATTGCCAAGTACAGTTGCCTATATTTACAGTAAGGCAGATGGAAAAGACAAGATCAGGGCTGAAATCAAGGAAGACACTGAAAAATCTTTTGAAATTTTGAGGGCTGACTTACCACTCAAAAGGCCACTCCCCAAAACTCTTTAGCTTTTTGAGCTCAGAATCATAGTAAATGGCTGTTCTTTATCATCACCAAATGAAGACAAAACTGCTCCCTTCCTTGAGATGACTTAACTCTTTGAAACTAAAGATCATTCAAGAGTCTGCAAAATTCTTTTTATAAAATATTAGTGCTTCAAAACACGTATCCTCTGTGAAACAATGAGCAATTTAGCTTAAAAAATTGGGGTCCAAAGTATTGGCATAGCAAGACTGGATGAGAGGAAGGTGTTGAAGCAGTGCGTGCTGATAGGGAGAAGTCACTGATCACTGCCGTTGTTTAGAAATGCTGGAGTGTAGTCATAATGAAAGCAGACTGACATTTAGTTGGCTTTATATTGTTTTTACGTTTTCCACAGTTATTGCAAACCCTTATTGCCTGTGTTTTGAGATGCTGCACCTTGATTAAATTCTAGACACTCTTATCAACACTTTGTGTTCTCAATAATAATGATAACAAAAGCCAATGAAAATACAGATCTTACAGAACTTATAATAATAAAGGTTTAATTTTATTTTATTTCCAGTTTTATTGAGATGTAATAGACTTTTATTTTAAAATCAGTGAACTGTGTCACCTAAACGAGCTTTTGAGAAAAAGGTAAAATATTCTGATCCTTTAAATGAAAATTTATATTTATTAAAATATTTCTATATTGGAATCTATGAGGTGGAAGAGTCAAAAAACATGTAGTCCTGACATTTAAGAGACTTTATAATGCTGCTTTAATGAGAGAGAAGGCACATTATAAAAGAGGTTTACTATATCACAAAAAGAGAGGATTTAGACATTTGAGACAATCTGAAAGTTTCCTGAAAAGACACCAATATGATTATTATTTATCACTAATGCAATTAAGTTTAAATCATTTCCATTTCTGTTACTTAAACTAGGTGTGTATATAGGTAGAAAAAGAGAAAGAAAGAAAAAAGATACCGAGCATGTGCATAAAAATTGACCTTATTAGTCGGTATATGGATATAATGAAATAGAGGAAATTTCTTAAAGAAAGTAGCAGTTAAATCTATTGAATCAGTATTGCAAATAAATTAAAATGGACACTTTTTTCTGAATCAAATTTCTAGTCATGAAATGAAACAAATACTAGTACTCAAACACAAGCATACCTATTATCAAAATTGTACAAAAAGTTTGAATTTAAAGATTAAGCAAGATATTTCTCCATACAAACTTATCTTTATAACTGTACTACTCTTTCAAAAAGCATTTATAAAAATATGGCTATTTAAACAATATGGAAACTACATACACTATCTTAGCAGAGTTTACACTTTATACCAGGTTAGAAATTCTTGTCATACTTAGAGATGTGGAAAGAGTTGCCTTTAAAAACTTGACTTTGTGCTCCGTGAATAACTGAAGCAACAACCAGCAAACAAAATCAGTGGAGGATATTCAACTTTCAGGGGCCAAACATGTGCAGACCTAAACAAAGAGAGAAGCTTCCCTCAGATGGAACGAGAATTTGGCCTCCCTGGGAAATCTTATGGCCTGTCTCAGCATTGTTAATTGCAGGGTTTGCTGTAGTTTAATGTAAGTGTTTTTAGTTCTTTATGAGTCTCATAGTTGCCTATTGCAATGATTTTTAGGGTGGGGTGGGCACAGAGTAGCTTTATAGCAATAAAGGACTGTCTTGTTGAAATCTGCTCGTTCTTTACTTGTTTTTTACAGCTCTCTAACACTGACTCAAATTTACAAGCATTCACTTAGACCTCTCTTAAACCTGTTCGGGAAAAGATTACAATGTCGAATGCAGACATTGTAAACTATGTGTAATACGCACCTCTGCTGGTAGCATTTTTGTGTTTCTCACAGAGTTGGAAGCATCACGTTTCTATCATGGGAAAGGAAACACACTTAAATGTGCTAAAAATTCCTCAGGTATTTATAAAATAAACTTGGGGAAAGGCCATGGTATGTGACTTCTAAATAGTACTAGGATATATGTTGGAATTTGAGTACACTTTTTCCAAAAATAGTTTTTGCCATTTGTGAAGGAAAAAATAGAAATAAGATGTATCCTAGATCATTTTAATAATTAATTCTCCAGATCATTATATAGAAAAGCCAAAAATATATACTCCTAACTTCAGAAAAGATCACATTTAAATCATTCAAGATAGTATGAATTCTCTTCTAGACACATTAACTGAGCATCTAATAAACATAGGTACTAAGCTAGATGCCATAAAGCAGTACTTTTCAAACTGCAGCTGAATATCTAACAGCAGAATAGTAAGAATTACCTCCATGGAATTAGAGAGAACGACCCACTGCCTCAGATAGGATAGGGAGGTTGTGCTGCAGTAACAAACATCGTCGACATTTGCTTAAAATCGAAAGATTTTCTTCTACTCCTACCTCACTCATGCTCATCACAAGCTGGCTGGGGCTGACTAATGAAGTGTGATGTTTGCATGAATGCTTGGAATCAAAAGATCTAAAAGGATACAGCTAAGCTGAGACGTACTAGCAGCCACAATTCCAGCTGTAGGGTCCCAGGTTGAAAACAAGATTTCTTGTCATATTGAGCCCACACAGGAGACTAACCACTTTCCCACCCTAGTAATGTGTGTATGAGTATAATGTATGTGAGGTCTCCTCTTCCAGATAATAAGCCTTTTTGAAGGCTGAGCTAGTCATCAATATATAGTATTTTAAGCAATGAGACAAGATATAGTTACCTTAGTGTCTCTTTCCTCTTTTCTTCCAATAACCTCCCTCCCCAGTGTCTAGTACAGAGCTTTGCACATGATCAGCACTAAATAACTATCTACCAAGAGTATTAAAATGTAAAAAGCAGAATCTTCTGGAATACTCACAATCAAATGTATTTATCAGAAAAAGAAATCACACAGATGTTTTCATAAGAAGCAGAGCCCAAATTAGTCATTCATGATTTCTGCTGATCATATTAGAATCACCTCGACTTAAAAAATAACACACACACACTTAAAATATCGCTGGCTTTTTCCCATATAAGCAATATTTAAACATGAAGCAAGCTTGGAAGGGGAATAAAAGCCTTTAGCTGCAGGTGATTCTTTATCACAAACCATTTCCTTTATCTGAGTAGTCCTACTGGCATTCCCTGGGAATTAACCTTTGCTGCTGCTTGTTACCTGATGCGTTGCATGAATAAAAAGTATGCATGACAAAGCTTCCTGTCGTCACTCAGCCCAAAGGAAACGTGAGCACACAGAACCCTCTGATTCAACAAACGGGAGGTTCTGGGTCACCATTCTACTACCAAGAGACACACTACCTGACTCAGAAAACTCATGCTTATTTCAGGAAAAAGAAGGAAGTCGGCACCAAATAAGTAAGGCCTCTCTTACGTTAATCATTCTCTCTTTAAATTTAAATTTGTTCATATTTGAGTCACTACCCTGTGATAATGGTGTGGATTTCAGAGCCTTTGGGATCTTTATAAGAAAAATACCTTGTAAATATGAATGCTAATAAAGCAAAGCACAGAAACATCAGAGCAGTTGAAAGGATTGTTTGTTTCCCGAGTTTAATCTTTTCCATGTGATCAGGTCAACCTTTGCAACCAGGGTAATATCCTCTCTTCCTGTTCCTCTAGTCTTTTGTGGAGTGTGTAAAGAAGATGGAGATGAAGACAACACAAAGAACAAGAGGAATTGAAAGAGGAAGGAGAAGGAGGAAGAAAAGAATGTTTATTGACATTAACACAGATTGTTAATTACACAAAATGTTGTTGACAGTAATACCCACCATGGGGGCCAACACCAGAAGATACACATGTGTTGAAAAAAGATCAACATCTATTGCAAAACTTAATAGTTTAAAAGAACTATGCCCAAAGACAATAGTTTTACATGTAGCTACAGAAAGTACATGTACATATCATTGTATGCGGCATAACTTTTAATTTAGATCAAATAACTCTTCTTGTAAATTTATTCTCCCCATTTTTATTCTAAGCTTTCTTCTACATGTGCGAAAAGTGAAGTGATGGCCATCAGTGTGTTGATTTCTCTAGCAGAACTTTCCAAATATTAAAATGATGTCTATTTTATGTCAGTAATATTAGATGCTTTAAATAAAAAATCAATTAGGTTCATTCCAATAATGGTTCAGTTATTTCCCTTGTTTCATAGACTACTATAAAGTTTTTAGAGGTTCATTCCGTAAATGTTGAAATATTTAACAACATTATGAATACTATTATAAATCCACTTAAATTCAACAGTGAAGATAAAATTTTTGTGTACGTGGTGATAATACGAAAACAAATGTAGTAGAGCACAGTGTTCTTATTAAGCACAGAATTCCTTCTAAATGAAGGAACTTCAGGGCAGATATGTTCTAGGGATTTGTTCTTGTGCTCCCATAGTTTATAATGGCATATAAAAGGCTGTGATAATATACTTATCATAATAGAAATATTTTCTATTTACACAAAGTAACTGAACTACTAAATAATGAATATAAAATGTTATTTCAGCATAGCAGTAAATTCTCTCTTTGCTGCTTGATATCAGTTGGAATTTAGAAGTGTCTTTTTGAAATATTACTTTGCAAATCACCTAAAGTATCCTACAATGGTAATGTGCTTTCCTGTAAACAAGTCCTCAAAATTTTGGTTGTATTTTGTTTAGAATCAGTTGGAGGGCTTTAATCAAAGCAGTCAATATATCAAGCACGAAGAAACCCTTCAAATTCTGAGGCTTTCTACAAGTGGCAGTGATTGGAAATAAAGCTTGCTGATATGAAGGCACTGAAATCAACCCCTGCAAAGGCAAAAAGGAACTGAACTTATCAAGTGATGAGGGCTCACTCTTTATACAAGATCTGATTGTGAAATTCTATAATTGTGTTTTGGAATATCTTAATTCGTGGGGAGCATACTTTAATAGATCTCCTTTTATTATTGGGAAAAAAATCGTATTTTATATGGAAGTGAAAAGAAATTGAGAAGGCTTATGATTTTATAGCATTAAAATTTGTATAATAATCAAAAGAATTGTAAGTGAAGATAAGTATATTAGAGTTTTGTCTTACAAAAACTATTTTAAAAGAACAATGTATTAAATAAAGGAGAAAAGCCAAACTAAAAAGAAATTGAGCTCAGATATTTAAAGTCTTTTGTCCCTCCTCAAAAAAAAAGAAATTGAGAAGGCTTATGATTTTATAGCATTAAAATTTGTATAATAATCAAAAGAATTGTAAGTGAAGATAAGTATATTAGAGTTTTGTCTTACAAAAACTATTTTAAAAGAACAATGTATTAAATAAAGGAGAAAAGCCAAACTAAAAAGAAATTGAGCTCAGATATTTAAAGTCTTTTGTCCCTCCAAAAAAAAAAAAAAGAGAGAGAGAGAGAAAGACAGAGAGAATTGAGGATATTGTCAATTAACAGAATTTGCTCTAAGCTAACCACATATACCAGCACTCATAGAGGATATTTGTCACTTAAAATATTATATTTTACAAAGAAGAGAAATTAAAGTGTCACAATTTCAAATTGTAATTCATAAAATGCAACACTGAAGACTGCAGACAATTCTATGAAAAAAATCCAGATAATAAGACCACATTAGAAAAAAATACATTATTTAGAAAAATAATGGAGATAGATAAAACAAAGAACCACTTTCAAATTGGTTAACATATGTCAAGAATAATTATTTTGCTTATGTTGTTTTTATTGTTCGGCAAAACAATATAGTAAGGATTAACTTTTTTACTACACATAAATAATATTATTATTTTTAGAGAAAATTTTCTTTTTGAATGGCTTTTGAAAAAAAATCTTTTATAAAGACATCAGATCTGTTAAACCAAGTTGTTAATAATTATTTCAAAATTATATAATTTTATTCATTAAACTGTATAACTGAAAGAATGAATCTTACAGTATATAAATATGCTTCAATAACCTAATTTTTTAATGACATAATTTTATTCTTAGCATTCCTCTTCCTCCTTCACTTTCAAAAGTGTCCTGTCTCAAATAGTAAATTATATGTTCACCTGTTCATAACACAACCTTAAAAGAGTTACCTAAATTTACTGTCTTCACCTCCCCATGTTCCATTCACTCTTCAATCCTCTTCATTTGGACTTTCAACTCCATCACTCCACTGAAGCCATTTTTTTTTTCAAGACAGCACTAATGTGCACTTTGCCAAGTTAGTGTTCTATTGTGATTTGACTCAACCATTCTCTAGCACTCAGCACAGTTGACCGATTTCTCTCCCCAACTTGGTCTTCCGTTGGCTTCCATGGCATCACAGGATTGGTTTTCCTCTCATCTATTGTCCACTCCTTCCCACTCTCTTTTGTTCAATCCTCTTCCTGGACTCTAAATATTAGAATGACCCAAACTTCATCCTTT